ACGAAATATATTTCTAAACATATTTATTCATTTCAAACGAAGTTCTATAAGATAAGTTATGCTCAAAATACAAAAGACCACCCAGCTAAGAAATAAATTTTTTTAATAACTTAGCAAAAGAAGTTGTGTCTCAATTCACCCAAAAGGAGCTAGTTTTTATTTTTATTTTGAAGAAAAATACTTTAGATAATTCTCTAAGGTTCCTATACTTGAATTCATACGAAATTCACAAGAGGAGGTGTGAAATATATAGCAACACAAATTATCATCATCACATGGACAGATGTCATGAAAAGGTGTTGCAAAAAAAATTATGTGCTGCCCAAATTTCATACATATAATCCTCTATATATATATATATATATATATATATATATATATATATATATATATATATATATATATATATATATATATATATATATATATATACAAAAAAATTAAACTTAATTGAAATTCTAATTAGTTAATTTAAATAAATACCTCCATACAATATATTTAATTATTATAACACTTATGTTAGGCACATTTACATTTATCAGAAAATTTTGAGTTCCCAAACAGAAAATAAAACATATTATAGTAATGTATGGATATGTAAATCATGGTCTAGTATCTTTGGTTTGTTACAAATCTCTCCCCCTTAAAGAAATTTTTTGTCAAAATTACCTTAAGTTATTCCTGAAACAAATGCGGATACTGAGTCCTCATGTCTTATTTTCTCTCCCGTGTATCCTTTATTAAAGAATGGTTCATCAAAAGTATCCTTAATAAAGGAATTATATTGTTACTATGTTGCTTTACCACCCGAGCTTTAATTAGGATAGGTTCTTCATTATACATCAAGTCAGGGTTCATCTCAATAGATTAAACAGGAAGAACATGAGATGGATCAAAACGGTATATTCTAAGTATAGAAACATGGAAGACATTGTGGATCTTGTCTATCTCTGGTGGTAAAACCAATTTATATGCAACCGGTCCAACCCTTTCAAGTATGTGATAAGGTCCAATAAATCTGGGACTAAGACATTTTTGTCCAAATCTCATAATATTTTTCCATGGAGATACCTTTAAGAATACTTTATCTCCAACTTGATATTCAATTCACGCCTTTTTAGAGCACCGTATGAATTTTTTCTATCCGAAGAAATCTTTTTTCTATCACATTGTCCTCTGTTTGATGCACCATTTCAAGACCAATAAGCGTTCTTTCACCACTTTAACTCCAACTAAACTCCATAATGCAAGCTCGAAGCATATCCTCCAAATTTTGTATCACTCTTTCTGACTGGCCATTTGTCTGAGCATAGAACGAAGTGGTTAATTTCAACTTAGTACCCAAGGCTTCGTAAAATTTGCCCCAAAATAAAGATGCAAATCTTGGGTCTCAGTACGTTCTATCGACACAAAGATCCCATGTAGTCTTAGAATCTCATTAATGTACAACTCAGCTCGACGCTCAAGTGATTAGTCTATTATAATTAATAAGAAGTGATAACTCTTTGTTAGCCGATCAACGATCACCCATTTGGCAACATTCTTTCTATGAGTGCGACAATTTCCAAAAGTAAAATCCATAGTAATCCTCTCCCATTAAAATTTTTGAATCGACAAGGGTTGTAGTAATCAAAACGGCACTTGGTGTTCTGGTTTTACTTGTTGACAAACCAAACACTTTGAAATGAACTTTGCAATGTCTCTCTTTCTACCATTCCACCAATAATTTTCTTTGATAGTCTGGCATATCTTTGTACCTCCATGATGCATTGCATATGATGAAGTATATGTTTGTTCCATTATTTCTCTCCTAAAGTTGTCATCATTAGGGAAACATAAACTCATTTTATACACTAAGACACCATCCCTTTTTAATGTAAAATCAATATTCTCCGCATTTTGTTCCTCTCTATTTAATTTTACAATTTTATCTTCCACCATTAGTGCTTCCTTCACTTGTTCAGGTAATATTGACTTTACACTCGGATTAACAATATCTGAACCATTTGAGTCAGGTGTAATACGATCATTCATGTTTCTTAACTCAAGGATCAACGTCAAAGGAGTTAAATAAATGCATGAGAATGATTTTCGACTTAAAGCATTGGCAACCATATTAGCTTTACCTAGATGATAATCAATCCTGCAATCATAATCCTTGACTAGTTCAAGCCATCTACGTTATCTTAGGTGCAACTCCTTTTTAGTACCCAAGTACTTTAAGATCTTGTGATCAGTGAATATGTGACATTTCTCCCCATACAAATATTGTCGCCAAATTTTTAAAGCAAACAATAAAGCAGCAAGTTCAAGATCATGAGTAGGATAATTCAATTCGTCCGATTTTAATTTCTGAGAGGCATAAGATATCACCTTCCCTTCTTGCATCAAAGCTCATCCTAGACCATTGTGAGTAGCATCATTGTACAGTACATATTGTTTTTCTCCAATTTATAGACTAAGTATAGGAGCTTTAGTCAACAATGATTTGAGTGTTTCAAAGCCATTTTGACATTTTTCATCCCAAATGAACTTTACTTCCTTCCGCAAGAGTTAAGTCAAAGAGGAGGCAATAATGTAGAAGCCTTTCACAAATCTTCTACAGTATCCTCTAAGCCCAAGAAGTTGCTTCCTTTAGTCAGTTTTTTGGGAGGTTTGAATTCAACAACTGCATGTACCATACTTGGATCCACCTTCACACCTTCACTTGATACAATATGTCATAGAGAAGACACATCATCAAGACAAAACATAGAAAGTTTAGCATAATGATCTTTCTCCTTTAAAATCTGTAAAATAATTCAGAGGTGTTTATCATGGTCTTCACTACTTCTGAAATATATTAAGATATCATCTATAAAAATAACCAATAACTAATCAAAATAAGTCTTGAATACTTGATTCATTAGATCCATAAATACCGCAGGAGCATTTGTTAATCCGAATGCCATCACCAAATTCATAATGACCATACCGTGTTCTAAAATCTATTTTAGGAATATCATTCTCACTAACACGCCTGTGTGATAATCATACGTTTAATCAATCTTTAAGTATATTTTATCACCCTTAAGTTGGTAAAAAACACAATAAATTCTTGGTAGTGGATATATATTTTTTATGGTTATACTGTTCAATTTTCTATAGTCAATACAAAGCCAAAAATGTGCCATCTTTCTTCAATACAAATAAAAATAGGGGCACCTAAGGAGAACACACTAGGTCTAATAAAACCCTTCTCAAGAAGTTCGTGCAATTGAGATTTCAATTCTCTTAATTCTTCTAGAGCCATTCTGTAAGGAGTGATGGAAATAGGGTTACATCTGGGAATAAGACCGATTGGAAATTCAACCTCTCTTTCCCGAGGAAATCAATGAAGGTTTTCTTGAAAGATTTCTTGAAAATCACATTCCGCATCTATGTCCTTGATAAAAGGAATCTCCAGCTGTGCATCAACTATGTCAGCAAGGTATACCCCAACACCTTCATGCATCAACTTTCTTGCAAAGGTAACTGAAATAAAACTAGATGTCAAAGATCTTTCACCTTGTATGATGATATATGAACATGTAGTTTCTTTAAAAGTAACAAATTTTCCCCTTCAATTTATGACTACATGATATTTATAAAGCCAGTCCATCCCGTAATAACATCAAAATACTTGAAGGGCATTTTAATCAAATCAGCAGGAAAGACTAGATCTGGAATCACGAAGGGAAAATTATGACAAATTTGATTACAAACAACCGGATAACCCAATAAACATTCAACCAGCACATCTTAACTAAGTCTCATGAGTTTTATATATTCAGGAAGGACAAGTGATGAAAAAATATAGCAATGTGTAGAACCAGGGTCAAATAATGTAAAAATGCACAATTTAAATAAGTGAAATTTAGTGACAACCACATCTTGTCAATCTTGATCATCCCTCTGCCTCATAGCTTAAGCCTGTGAAGTACTCCTTTGTCCACTACCTTGATTAGCTTCACTTGCACCTATTGCTTGGGTGTTTCAAGGACTTGCACCTTTATTAGTTTCAGGAGTATTAAAAGAAGTCTAATGAACCTAACCTTCTATTTTCGAGGAAGGAGCATAATTAGGATTAGGACAGTCCTTCACTTTAGGATCAAAGCTCCCACAATTAAAACATGCACCAGAGGCTCTCCTTTAAGCACCAAAATGATTCTTTTCACATGTTGACACCCAATTTTGACCATCTCCGATAGAAATTAATCATGAGCCTCTTAAATTTTCCAAGCAATTTAAAATAATTAGTTTTATAAATTTATAAGAAAAAAAATAACGTTTGTGTTATTTTGAATATTTTTGTCATTTCTTATAACTTTTGAATAATATATATATTTTACATAATTATGTATATAATTAGTATATTTTATGATTATTCAAAAAACCATCTCAAAAATATTTTAATTTTAGTAAGTATTCTATTTAGCTAATATAGTTTAAATTATGGTTATATTTTGAGCCACTATTTTATAATTTAAATAATTATATTACTAAATTAAAGAAGCTCGTTGATTAATTAATACAAATTCATTTTATTTAAGGTTTAGCCGAATTTATTATCTTAACTCAATTTGGCTATTTATCAAATTTAACCCATTCTTTAAATCCACCAAAAGATCTTAGTTTTGGGCCGTTTACACACTCCCTTTAATTTCCAGGCCCATTTTTATTTCTTCTTCTCCCAGCCCACTTCAGCAACCCAACACTTCTCCGAAACCCCAAGCCTAATAAATTTCCAGCCCACCTCATTCCCTTCCAGGCCCACTTTATTTTCAGACACCCAGGCCCAATAACATGGCCCATTCCGTTTTAATTAATTTCCAACCCAATTCCCTTTTTCCCTTTCCCTCCAACCTTACCCCTTTTAAAATTCAAAATTCAAAATTCAAAATTCAAATTCTAAAAAAATTTCCCACTCTTTTTGTCAAAATTTGGCTTATAAACAATCCCCATCTTCTTTATTGTTAGGGGGTTGGTGGAGAGAAAGAAGAAAAGAGAGAGAAAGAAGAAAGGAGGAAAAATAGAAAAAAAGGAAAAGAAACAGGGAAAGAAAGAAAATATAGATAAAAAGGGAGTAAAGAGAAAAGGTTACAGAGGAATATGGCCACAAGCTTCCAGCCATATCACTGTATATAAGTATTTTGAGATAGTTTCTTGAAACCATAGAGACGTTCGTCCCTGTCCTATCTCTACCTACAAGGAGCTCTATATCGCCTTTTGAGTTTGAGTGTTGTGGAGGAAGACCTCAGCGTTATTTGTTGTTCCAGTTGGCTGCTCTAAAACAGGTAACCCTTACCGCTTGACACGACTTTCTCATTTTTTTTTGTTTTGAAATGGCTTCTGCTGGCGTTTTAAAGTTCTGTTGCTGCTGCCAGTTATGAAACTGAAATGTAGGTGTATGTTTGAAGTATAGTCTTCTCTTGTTTCGCTTACCTCGTCTTAAGCTTGTTCATGTTGTCCCTCTCGCTCGAGTTGTTCATTCAGGCTTGGATGAACTTGTAGGTAGTATAATTTGTTGCTTAGATTGATATAGACACTAGATCCTTCGGTCATATTTGGTTGTGAATGTGTGAGCTCGGACGAGTTCTCGTCTTGTTTGTCAGACAACCTCCGTATTCGCTTGTCTTGAGTACGTTATAGCTAGGTTTCTAATCGAGTTTTATTCGAGTATATGTCGGTGACTTTTTCTTTATCGTATTCTTAGTTGTCCTAAAGAGTTAGAAACATTTATGTGTTCGAATTATGACCATTTTGGAGGAGGATTTTAGACTTTGTCTTACGGGTAGGCCTTTTCTTTGACGTGATTTTGGTTATCAATGGCTTCTGCATATATGCCCTTTATGTGCATTAAATGCCTTGAATGATAGAAAGGGATCAATTCTCCTCTGTGTTTGGTCTACAATATATTTATTGCTCACTGTCGTGTTGTTGTCATTGGGTTTGAAATGATTCACATAGCCTCAAGTTTATCACTAATGAACCTTGACATATGATGACTTTCATTTTATTCTTTTGAATATTTGAATAGTGCTGCATGCATGAGGAGTCCCCTGTGTTGCCTTCATATGAGATATGTGTTTACATTTTGTACCCCTTTCCTAACTCATTATCTCTAAAATAGCTCACATCTTCTATTACCGTTTTGTTTAAGACGCATTCTATTAGCTTATCGCTTAAGGTGCTAATTCTTTTTTTTGGTTTTATTGCATGTGAAATCTCCTCGAGTCCTCATAGACTTTAACCCATCTCGTTGCACTTTCTCATTGGGCCGTAAAGGCTTGAACTGTCATCCTTGAGTTGTAGACCCCCTCAAAACTGGCGTACAGGCTAAAATATATCAAACGAGTTGCTGGAAATTAACTGCAGGTTCATCAAAACCTGGAAAGGGGCTGTAAAATGTATTGGCAGGTGTTGATGTAGCTGTATAGCAGCTGTATACATACTTTATACATCAGTATAAAGGTCAAAAAAACGTACAGGGGACCAAATTAGAAATACAGGTTGATAACAGTGAGGACATACTTCTGGAAATAATTTTTCAGCTGTCGAAAGTTGAAAAACAGGTTGATATACAACCTGTATACACAGATATACTTAGACGATATACTATATATATGCTTAAAAAATATGATTGGTAGGGGAACGTAGAGGGACGTGTATTCTAATTAAAATTCGGAATTAGGCAAACAATGCGGACATAGGGTGCATCCCGTATACATTAGTATACATTATCGGGAGACGATATACACTTGTTAAGTAAGTTTTTAATAAATGATACAGGTATAAATACGCAGGGGAATTCAGGGAAAAGTAACGGTAAATATATATTCAAAAGGTGCAGGGCTCAAGAGGTCCAAATGGGTCAGATATATGTTGTATACAACATGTATACATTTGTATACTTTATGTCTCTTTTCAGGGAATTGGGCCAGGGCCCTTCAGCCCCCCTTTTATTTAACAGGCCCAAAGGTCATTTGTTTCTGCAGGTTTTAAAGAAGGCCCAAGTATAAGGATTAGTTTATGACAGGTGGGCCAAAGCCCAAATGAAAGAATTTGGGCAATCAAGCCCAAGTTCAAATATTTCTTTCTCTATTATTTATTTGTTTGAATTATTTAATATCTTGGTAGAATTTTAATAATCTTCTAAGGGGTAGCCATTTTCATTATTTAAATTTTACTATTGTTGTTTTACTTACTTTTATCACAATTTAGTTTTCCTTAAATTAATTCCCTCAACCTTTAGAAATAAATAAAATTAATAATAATGAAATAAAAAATATTAAAACAAATTTCTTTTTACTTAGTTAAAATTTTTATTTTAATAGTCATTTAGTCAAATCGCCGGTCAACCGCGAGTTAGCGGGCATCCCGAGGGCCTAACACCTTCTCGGGATGTACATTGAACTTCGAACCTTTTTTAATTGATTTTATCTGTTTTGAATCTTTTGACAATTTTAAATTTTTTCTTGATTTTATCAAAAATCAAGTGGCGACTCCATAATTTTGAAAAGTCGATTTTTCTTAAACAATAAGATTAATTGATTTTTCGAAACCTAGTCAATTTTTCCATTTTTAAATCAAAAATAGTTAGTAGTATTTTTTTAAAATAAAACAGAAATGGCGACTCCGCTGGGGATTAATTAAGTTCTAACCATAAGATTTGACTGTTTGACTAACTTCTTTTAATTGTTAAAATATTATTTGTACTGAATAGGTTTAAATTTTTCATAAATTGTCATTGCATTCATAACATATTTCCAATATATATGTATAGTATATAAAAGGACGGTTTGCGGAACCGCAGCCGGACTTTTTTATACTCACCCTGTTTTGAAATTAGTGGCAATTTATTGGTTTGTTAGGCGTCCAATGGTTGTCGCGAGTTTTAGCCCAAATTGTCCATTTGGGTTCCCGGTCATTTCAAAAGCCACTCTTAGTCAAACTAGGATAGAGCGAAACCCAAATCCCAAAAAAAATAGCGCGTTGGCCTAGGACGACCCAACACCCAAGGCGCGTTGGGCCCATTAGAAGACCACCTTGAGTCCAAAACGGTCCACGGCCTGAATGGACGTTCATACTTGTGTGTTTAAATTTGAGGGACGTATACATCCCTCAAATAGCTAGGCCCACCCTTGGCAGAAAAGGGTCACATATCTGTTTAGAACGCGCAATATTTGTCTTTGTGTTATAACTCCTTATGTAAATATGTTGTTTTATCCGGAGATATTCTAACTCACTCTTCTTCAAATACTTTTAGGACCCATAAGCACAAATATCAAGTCACTATCCAAAGTGCGTCCAAATATTCTTCAAGTCTTTAGTTTCCTAAAAAAAAAAACTACTACTCTAATATCTGAAAAAGATTCAGTATTTCAAATAAAAAAAAAATTTGAGAAATTTTATCTTTTCCAACTCTTGCAAGGAAATTAGAGTTACATCTCAATCAAAATCAAATTACGGTAATAAAATATACCGTCAATTTTGTTTCGACTCTAGTCGACATTTTATTCGCTAATCCCAAAGTCAAGTAGACAAATTCATGTCTATTTAACTATTTCTTTATATTGGTGAGCAAGTTTATCTCCGGATAAAGCAAACTCTTATATGTTTTCACCCATATGTGATATCTTGTATTATTTACCACCTCCAGGCACTAATATATTGGTCTTTTGAGTTTTTTCCATTGAAAGGTATTTAAAACTGATCTGTGTTGGTAAGTTGGTTCACATTCGAGGTCTAAGGCCCCAAAGATTCCTTCCCCGATCAAATTTGCAAAGAGAAAAGACAACAATGGGGGATAACAATGATGAGATTGACAGGGACGATGTTGCTGTGGCTCAACCCGTCGCCGCTGACAAAATTAATTGATTATGCAGTTGATGCAACAGATTGCCGAAATGAGGGTCGAAATGCAAAGAATGCAAGATGGGTCTAATCCAGTTTCATCTTTCAACCCTCAAAGAGATGGAAGACCTCCACTCCACTTTCCATCCTCAAGCACGGAACAAGTTCAAAATCTTCCCTCTAACCCCACTCAAAATCCTCCAACCATTGACTTAACTACCCCCAATCCTTGTCACGCCACATCGTGTCAAGCACCACACCATCCTCAAAATACCAACCTTCAAATCCTCCATCTCCCTCAAAACCAAAATGCGAACAATGCTCAAACCTTCCCCCATTTACAAAACCACAATCCCGATCCTCAAACTTTCCCCCAAAATTATCAAGCCTCTCAAAATACCCAGAATCCTTCCATTGCTCCACCTATACCTCAAAAGACTACATTCCAAATCCCAACTTCAAATGAACCTTATGCCGACGATTTCGAGCTTGATCACTATAAGGAACAAGAGAGAGAGAGTGGAGGTCAAGAGGAGAAGCAGACAAGGTGAATATGAAAGAAGAGGTCAGGAAAGCCATGAAGGAGTTGCACTATTTTTCCGAAGTCGATGGATTGAGCTATAAGGATTTATGCATCCATCCGAATCTCGACCTCCCAGAAGGGTTCAAAGTGCCAAAGTTGGTCACTTTTAACGGAACAGGAAATCCTCTAGCACATCTGAAAGTTTATTGTGATCAACTCGTGGGAGTTGGCAAAAACAAAGCATTATTGATGCGTCTCTTCGGTCGGAGTCTAAGTGGAGAAGCTCTGGAGTGGCTCGCATCACAGGAGCTGAAACAATGGAAAAGTTGGAATGCACTCGCAAAGGATTTCACGGAGAGATTTGGACATAACGTAGAAGATGCTCCAGATCACTACTACTTGGAGAAGATCAAACAGAAGTCTACAGAAAATTATCGAGAGTACGCTTTTCGCTGGAGAAAAGAGGCTGCAAGAGTTCAACCTCCCATGTCTGAACGTGAGATCACTGAAATGTTCATTCGTACTCAAGAGCCTGAGAACTATGAAAGAATGGTGTGTATGATGGGACAAAAGTTTGTCAAGATTGCCAAAGTGGGAGAAGCTTTGGAAGATGGTTTCAAGACTGGAAAGAGCACCAAACTTACCATATAGAAATCTAATGGAAAATCTACCAGAATTACTAATATGGATAAGTCAAAAGGAAAGGTGGAGGAGGTAAGTATGATCGCGGCTACTCATATGTGGTCAGCTTCTCAAAGGAAATACCAAAACCATAATGTCAATCAGGAAAAATTTCCTCGCCCAAAATTCAGAAAGGCTCCTAAAGTATTTACATCATCAAGGGAATGTCAAACTCAACTTTATGAAAGGTTTAAAGCAATGGGCATGCTCTATCCTATATAAGGAAGACCGGCCAATCCTCTGGGAAAATTTTACAGAGCTGACCACAGATGTGCTTATCACTCAGGAGCCGTTGGACATGACACAGAAAATTGTTCAAATCTGAAGCACAAGATACAAAACATGATCAACAACAACTTGATCAATATTGAGGAAAACACCTGAATGGATGACATATTGGATGCTCAAGAGTAAGTACAAGACATTTCTGAACAGAGTCATTTGAAGATATTCATTCGAGAAGAAGAATGCCCAACATTGGCCAAACATTGCATATGAAGTTTTGTTACCTTTCTTTTGAAAATGTATCACACTTTTCTTTGTTGGAACTACGTTCGACCTGAATTCTCAAGAATGAGATACGTAGGCGGCCTATGTCGGCCTCGGTCGTTTTATTATCAAAACTTCCTATTTTGGTTAACCTTTGCGAGGGAAACTACGTTTGACATGATTCCTGATCCAACGGGATACATAGGCGCCACAACGGCTCGGTCACAATGCCCAGTAAGATTTCCATTTCTCATCAATATGGAAACTGGGACAGAATTTTTGAGAGGATCTCAAAAATGCATTGGAAGTTGGACTTCTTTAACGAGTCAAAACAGAAGACCAAAATTCTATGGTCTGAACTATGTTTGACCTGATTCCTGCTCCAACGGGATACGTAGGCACCACAACGGCTTGGTCATATACCCAGAAGATTTCCATTTCTCTTCATAATGGAAACTGGGACATAATTTTGAGAGGATCTCAAAAATTCATTGTAAGTTGGACTTTTTTAACAAAGTCAAAACAGAAGACCAAAATTCTACGGAGATTAGCCTTGGGTGGATCTCAAAAATTACGACAATCTAGCTTGCAACTGGGACAGAATTTTTGAGATCATCAAAAATTCCACAAATGTCATTTTTTACTTATTGAGATAAACTGGGACAAAATTTTGAGAAGGGGCCTCAAAATTCCAGAATGAGCAACCTCAGAGTTAACAGAGCAAGTTATGAGAGTTCTTATATATTTTAGACCGGGACAAAATTTTGAGGACGGTCCTCAAAAAAATACCATCAAATATGTCATATAAAGAATGGGCGAGCGTGCAAGCCAACTGCAAGAAGGAGCATGGAGACAAAACCAACACAAATCAGTCTTTCAAACTAAGAATTTTTCTTTGGATGCAGGAATATTGAAGTCACAAAAATGGCTATGTAAAGTTGTCAAGAATGACAAAAGGCTTCATTTGCACCCATCGTGGACTCCTCAACAAAACCTAGAAAATCTTCCACCTTATTTATCTCTATTCCTTTATATTGCCTCAAGTGATTTCTAAACAAGTTTCTTTTTATCTTGCAGGAATATTATCGAGCCGCCCACCTCGTTAAAGTTGGACTATTATTGAGCCATCCACCTCGTTACAGTTGGAACATTATCGAGCCATCCACCTCGTTACAGTGGAACATTATCGAGACATCCACCTCGTTACAGT